GAAATGTTTCAATGCGTGAGAACTAATAAATTTCATTATAGAAGGGTATCAACCAAGGATTCAACACGAAAGTCGAAAGTTTTTCCCTTGTATGATCCACAGCATTCCAAGATAACAGATGCTAAATTGAAATTAATAGCAGACAACCCCAAAGCTCCAAGCAAAATTCACCTCACTCGTGCTTGAAAAAATTTCTCCATTCTCTTGCTCCTATTCGTTAATATTAGTTCCTTAAGGTAATATTATTTAAAATTAGAACATTTTAAAGTCACAATTTAGTTTTTTTGCATTTTCATTCAGGCGGTGAAAAAGAACAATATAAGCCAATCGAATGAGGTTAATGTGGCCGCAATTGACCTTAATTTCATTCCGTAAGAGGCCATAAACTTATTTAACCCCCCCCCCAAATGCCAACAAACATATCAATAACCAGACCATGGTTTGTTAAAAATTTCAAACATGTTCCACTTTATGATTTCCTTCCTTCGAAACTCTCTTGTTATGCTAATAAAGTGAATGAAGGCATAATTTAAAGACATTTTTCGATTAAATTCGATAATTAAGCCATCTTTTATAGTAGTAACTATCTCAAAAGTACTGACGAATAAAATAGCTGCAAATGAAGCACTGAGAGTTTTCCTTGGCCATTCAAACTACCACAGAGGATTCGATATTCTTTCAGGAAACAAGCATTTGGTGATTAAGGGTATTGCACAATTTTATTTACACTGACCAGGAGCGCACGATTGGCTTACCTTCACGTGGGCACCCCGGACAGTCTTTACTCATACGCCAAAAATTCTATAAACCGACAATTGACTTCTAACTCCAAACTGCCATAACCCGACTGACTGTATGTCATATTCCACCACTTTCATAGTGCTCACCTTACCTTTTCTCTAACTTTGTGTCTGCCTCTTTTTTGCATCTGCTAATCACTCTTCTGCTCTCCCTCTCGACTTTTGTGACTTTGATGTTCCTAACTTCTGTGAAGCCTGAAGTCAGCTAAAGGGCTAATGATGACTGTCATAAAGCCTGCCCTTTGTTATGCATAAAGTTATCCTGACCCATGAAGGCATTTAGTATTGAAAGTGTTCAAAGAATACCCAACTGTGAAGGGTTGAATTTCAATAGTCACAACCGTAGGTAGTAACCTACTGCATTTGATAAAACTGGCCCTCAAAAGAAACACAGAACACGGTTTTTAATGTGGATTTTGAGAATACCACTCTTCTGTCCTTGGTGAGTGTTGAAGGATGACTCCTCTCAATGGTATTGAGAGTTGTTTAGATATTCAACTAAATAGATCGCGTAGGCGTAACGTACTTGTATGTGTGGTAGGTATAACAATGCCTCCTTTTACATAATTAATCAGTCACTAGTTATCTATTGAAGATGTCTCCAGAATAGTGATGTCCATTTCCCTTGTAAGTTAGCCATACCTCACCACTGAACTCTAACTTTACCCTGAGAAGCATCTAGCTAGCTCAAGCTGTTACACAATTGGTACTCACTCCGTCACATCTGCTCCAATTGTGTCTAAAACAAAATATAATTGACCTGTTGACGTTTATCATTAAAGTTTGAGTAAACTTAGAGGACAAAGTAAAGCAAACAGTTGCGGAAACTAACTTAGTTGTTGCACAAAATCAAATACTACCATGCATTTCGTTCTTTTCTTTGTCAAGCCTTATTACGCCTTCGAGAAATAAAATTGATTTAATAAATAATAATAACTGATGGCATTTTTTGCCGTCCCTCTTTAATTCGACAACGGCTTTTTGTTTGCTTAGTTTTTTAGTACTTTTTCCCTAAGAATTGTATAAATTGGTTTAACCATAGCACATGTGGCTCAAACATAAATGAAGGAGGGGGGGGGGGGGGGAGGGAGGGGAGGACTGTAAACTACCCTACTCACCTAGTTACTTTGTGGTCGAATTGAAGTATTTTATAAACGATTGGATTATTGACTTGTGGGCGGATTTTCATAACGAGGCCATCATATCCAACGTGGCGTTCTTCCACTTCTCACTCGAAATATCTAAGGTTTCCAGGATGATAAGGGTTTAGTCGAATGGATGCTCAACCAAAGGCATTTAAAAGTAGACCAAAATGAGTGCTGATAAAAAGGAAGCACGCAACCAAAAGTTATTGAATGAAATAACAGATTTCGATATCATTCTTGAGGGGCTTTAATTAAATACCTACGTAAAGTGCAACCGTCACTGCATTGAGCACCCAACGGTCAAACCCGCACACAATATCCACCATTCGGTATTAAAGTGTAACATTGAGAATGAACTTTCATGACGAACTTGAATGTTATTATTGGATGGATTGCTTGAAAACAGTGGCTGAAAACCTCAGAGACACTGCTAAAGCAACTCAAAAGTATTTAATGACATTTCCTCGCATAAATATGATCCATTACCCCTTTCGATTATCGGCCACAGAACTCTTTTATTGGTAGCATAAGTACCATCTTCCTGTCCCCTTAGTAGATAACTTCTTGTTAAAGTCACTCACACTCAAGTCATCTTGTCTCGTAAGGAGTTTACAACGCAGCCGGATGCAACTATTCATAACTTACCAGAGGTTTGTTGCAAATTGTGGCCGACCAGGTGGTTAAGAAGTGGTATATTAAAAGTATTTGCATAAACAGTGAGCATGAGAGAATAATTTTTAATGAGATTACCCCCACTGACACAAATTTTTTTGTGAGAAGGAACATTAATTCACCGCAATAGAAGAAGACCAAACTCAACATATGGAGTAATTTTTACCTTAAATGGAAGTCATTTTATGAGATTTGATGTCTTGAATATATTACTTTGGGGATTAATTTGTGCAGTTAAAATTGTGTTCACACGGGCTTATTTAGATGAGTAACGAATGGAGAACTTCATTCACACTAGTTTCGCTGAGTCTCACAGTGAGTTTATCAAACGATCGAACCAGATGCCCACATTTTTTTAATTGAAAAGCCTTTGTCTTTTACCCTCGGGTATGCACCGCAAGACTGTACAAAAAAGTGAAATAGTGGAATAGTTATAACTGGTGTGATAGGTTCATTTTATTGACTTCGACTGTTTTTGGGTCCTTCATCATGATATGAATTGGGGAATGAAACAAATGCTCAAAATGCACCACAACTTCTTAATGTGCCTAAATGGCGTATAATGTTGAAGGTCTGGTATGGTCGCCCTGCTTCGGGTTCAGTGCCATTGCTGTCGAAATCCAATGAAACGCGTTCTGGCAAGTCCTAAGTTTGACGCCCATTCTGAGTCTTGACACAGTTAAAAAGCCATAAATCTTGGAATATAGTAATCAAACATAACTTTATTTCTGTGAATTGAAATATAACGTTACTGTTTTATTTACCTTAAGGAATACATTAGTTCATAGTTTATGGATACAACTAACGTTAAAAGCTTCAATATTTACCTAGAGAGACCTCTGCCTTTTGAATCTTTTAAACTCGCAATCTGGTAAATGAACATCCGACAATGCTGATATTAGTTCAATCGGAAATTTTGGGAAATGTGTTGGGACATTTGATTATGAAACAGTAAGCCACTAACTAACTCCTGAAATCGAATAAAGCAAGGCTTTTTTGATCGGCCGAGTTCAGTCCAAAAGTTTTTTACCTTTTCACCGTTTCCCACGCTTAGGTAAACTTAAATTATTCTAATTTTAACTTCTTTTATTATATATACTGGAGACGTCATAAGTTCTCTTCTATTTCTGTTAAAATACTTTCAGGTGGGCTATTTTCCAAAGGTAATGCACAAATCAAAATAGACAGTTTTGAAATTCACCATGGGTGCAAACTTTCACCATTCCCATTGTGATTGCATGGATACCACCTGCTTAAGTAATGCCTAAAGGAAACAATCTCCATTGTGTTGTCTCTATTTAGACAACATTGATCTCCTAAGAAGTTTCAGGAAGAGCGTGTAGTCCTGAACATATATAGACTTTCCTTTCAGCAATAAATTTGAAATCACTTCCAATCGATCAGCTTCTGGGTTTTGAGTTTAGTTTCATCTTAAAATGCAGGATATTTTGCAGTGAGTTACATGCTCTATCTATTTATGACGATTGATATCCAACGGATCAGGGTTAGTTTTTGGACTACTTTTGAGAACATTCTAGAGCCCATAATAAATGCTCGTTGTTAATGATAAATGAAGAAATAAATTTTAATTCTCAATTAGGTATGCAATATTTGTGCATTACTCGGTGCTTTCGGAGATGTCTGATTTCAGTTTTTTGACTACTTGTCTCAATCCCCCCTGAAAACTCCATATTGATCAGGGGGTCGAGATCATACCCCGTGCCGCGTCTCATTATTAAAATAGGACTACCTTTTTTTCTTAGCCGTGAAGCCATGTTATGTCTACAACTGATGAAGGTTTTCTTTGTTTCACTTCAACGGATGACCTCTATTCCAATCCTACAGCCACTGGAGCCTCCATCAGTTTACCATCCCGTATAACTTACCATTATCTAGTCAAATAGAGCTCACGGTTATAGCCAATTTGGAATGTGTTAGTTTAGCAATAAATTAGCAACTGAATCTTCTTTCACTAACCACAAATTAATGGTGAAAGTTAACTTTAGTAAATAGATTTTAGGGCTAATAACTCACCCCCCCCCCATTATTAATTCATTTTATTATGGCACTAATTGTTAAGATAATCCCTATCATATGGAAACCAAAACGTATAATTCAATTAAAACATTAGTCACATTTCAAGTTCGGCGTTATTTTCTCGACTAAAAATAAGTTGAACAGAATAGTTCGTGCCCTACGTGCAATGAGCGACCACCTGCTATCTCAACCAGTCAGCGCAAAGTGCACAACAAGGCGTATTCTCATTGGCTCACCAACGCCCTATTCAAAGCTACACTCAAACGGCTGGAGCCATGTGCCAGGGCATGTGTAGCTAGAGCAATAGAAAACAACGCCGCCTTATTGCGATACAACTGTGATCAATATGTCCATTTCGGAACCGGAATCCCATCCAGCTTTCTATCATTCCAAAAAGAGGATATGGGACTTTCCCATCACCTCTGCACCCTCAGGCTTGGGAAAATCTTCATGGCGTTCGAAATTCAATATTTACTGTGTTGGTGGGTTCGACAGTCTTTGGAAAGTGTGGTATGCTGCTTTCATAGGCATATCCACTTCAATTCTCTTCTGGCTAGCGATTGTCCGGTATCAAGTGTTCAAATCTCAGTCACTTCATCCCAGATTTGGTCTGGAATGGAACTGGGGATTGCCACTTAATCTTCAAGTGGCATGCTTAGTGATCGTGATCACACTTTTCCCCCTAATGGTATACGCAGCGGTTTCACGCGTTGGCCACTCAGCTAATGATGGAATAGTTCTTGGACGAGATTGTTTGCACCTTCATGCAATGCTCGCACAACTTCCATGTTTTCGTCTAGCTCAGAGATCAGCAGATCCCGAAGCTGCAGAACGTCTGCGAGCTCGTATAGCAAGATCCACTCAGTCACTGAATGAGACCTCCCATTCACCGGATTTTGAATCCTTCATCATTCAAGAACGTAGGGATGCTCTTGAACACCCCGGATGGTGTGCTGCAACCAGAAGGCAATTGAGACCTTTTGCTTGTCTCATTCATGTCATTATTTCCTTCGCTCTTCTGCTTCCTATAGCGGTTTTCGAAGCTGAACAAATCAGGAATGAAGCCATGCCTCCTAGTAAGTTCCTTTCCTCCATGTTTCATAGAGAGCTACACCACTAGTGGGACATTTATTCGATTTCCCAGATGGGGCTTTGACTGCAATGTCAAATATTGCTGAATTTCTTTCACGGTGCTTAATCTTTGATGCTCCAGCCAAATAGAAAGCTTGATGCTTTCTGTTATGTCAGCAGTTGTTGATGTTTTAATATTAACGCCCCCAAAAAGTAGCGAGTAAAAAACTCTTTAATAGCACGTAATTGATTAATGGTAGGCCTTACTAAAATTGTTCAAAATAACAAGTTCTACAACCCTTTAACAGTATGTTTTTGTTTTAATATTTCTAGGATAAAATGTTCTATATCATATAAGTGCAATTGAGTTTTGGAATCACTTTGAAGCCTTTTATGGTCTTCTGAAGTTTCAGACGTTACAATTGACCCGATGATTCAGGGGTTTCAAGATGTCACGGGAAGGTAATATGCGTTCAGATCGATCTCTATTGGATCTGTTTTCGGGTCACCTAAATATGAATATGGGTTTTCCGGTACCTTAACGGTAACGAATAACGAATCTCATTCTCAGCCTCCTCACCTTACTACACAGGAAGCTACCTTTTCGAAATTTTCATCCTGGCGAATTTCACATAAAAGTCGCCAATGACAGTACCAGTTGTGTGTAAATTTAATGAGCATAATCAGTAGAATTGAGATCACAGTGAGACCAAGGGAGGTCTGTCTAAGGGAAAATACGATTTCTAAGAAGAGAAAGTGCAGTATCGCTTGCATTTCGTCTTACCACTTTTGACACTGTTTGATTTGGGAGAGGAGCAGGCTTAGAAAAATCGATTTTCTCATTTTCTCTACATTTATGATCTCAAAGAGGGGAAACAAGTTATATTTTGCTAGAATGTGGTCGCCCTGACAAAGACATTTCGGAGAGTTCATTTGGTTGGAACAAAAGTCCAGCAACCTTTCCGGTCTCTTTAGATGACTTAGTTGACAATCCTAACTGATTACGCACAGCAGGTTTCGAGACGAATCAAACTGGAATTACTCCAGGCTTGGAGGATTCCAGAGAGGGAGTGAGATTCATTAATTTCATGTTCTGACGGGTGGGTTCAACTCCACGTCATCACTGGCTGCCTAAAATAGACTTGCAGTAGATGCATCAAATGAGAGTCAAACGCAACCAGAGATTGAGTAGACCTTTAAATGGATTTGGGGGGGGGGTGGTTGTGATCGAGGTGATGATGGACGGGTTTGAAGTATTAGGTGACACATTGCAACAGTTTTGAAGAAAACCCTTATTTATGCTGTCAAGATCTCACATTCTTTTTGAAAACCTAATCAATCCATCGGTGGTTGAGACAAAGGATAATTGGAAATCGTGGAATTTTTTAATCGTCAATGTTGAAAAATTGTATTTTTCACTAAACGTTCTAAACAAATTGACCTCCCAAAAGCAGCAATGAATTTTAGAACTCATTAATAACACGTAATTACCTTAATGGCCAGCTTTGAGATAAATCATGCAAGACATTTAGCACATTGTAATAAGCATGCAACTATGCACGACGAATTAGACATGAATTTTTTATACACACTTTTTTTTGAGTAAAAGGTATTCATTTTTATTCAACTGTTCGAAAGCGTGCCCTTTCACAAGGCCTACTTGCGAATGATTCGGACGCTTACTGAGGAAATGAAGTTGTTACATAATCTCGTTTATTGTTAGTGTTCAAAGGTTGTTTTTGAGCTTGGTAAAACAAAGCTCTCCCACAAACACGCCTATATTGCAGAAAAACTCCAACTTGTGACAATTAGACACGTTTAACGAGTGGCAGAGAGTTCTAACTACAATGTTTGTTTTTCTCAGTGATTAACGCAATATATAGCGTGCTTTAGCATGGGAGTTAATCTTAATGTTTGAATTTGCGTGATCTAAACATTTCAACCCTTTGGAAATGAATTTTCTCCTTGCACGAAAGTCATTTGTTGATGAGTGACGTATAAATTAACATCTCTCAATAGACAATGTACGTTAGGGGAAATTATTATATAATTTATAATTTCGTTTTCAAAGCCCTAAAATTTGCCAAATATTATTGTTAAGGTAAAGTAGTCAATGACTATAATTGTTATAAATTATTATTATTATCTATTTGGTTTGTATTAAAGAAACTTCAAAAGTGTTATTTTTGCAATCCTTTCTAAATTTTACGAACAGATTTTGAGAAATTTATTTTGCTAAAACACAATATAATAATCGCATAAGTCTATTGAAAAATTAATGAGTTCACATGGGGTTTCATCGTCGGTCAAATTCACGAACTTGCATGCATTCCCAATGGAAATCTCACAATGCCCCCCCCCCCCACCTCACCTCCACCAACCCCTCCTCAACTCCGTGTCAAAACAGATATCCTTCCTGCCAATCTGACTTGATGATGACTAAAATACAATTTCTCCCGTTTTAAATGGAAGATTTCGCTAGTAGAAATACAATCATTGTGTGTTTAAAAATGAATATTTATAAAATGTATATCCATACATTATGACAATCTACATAGACATAAAAATGAAAAAAACGAGATAATAACATGAGCGATCCTATTTTCGATTCTAATTACTGATTTATATTGCAATTATCACTTTAATATAGAAATTTTACATGAATTGAAAGCAAACCACAAATTATATTGCGAATCACATAGTTCATAACAAGATGTTTCAATCGATTGTCATTCACTTTCTAAACCGTCAGAATTGTATCGGTATAGCTAACAGAAAGGCACCGGAACTTCATTTAAGGTTAGAAAAGAACATTAGACTTCCCAATATGTGTGGGCTTTAGTAAATGCTAATCCATTGCTCCGTATACCAAAATGCTTATTTCCTAATATGTCTACTGGGTTCCTAATTAAGTTTACCCATTATTATACCAGCATACATGCTTTTATCATGTCAAATCTCTCTAGAGTTCATTTAAGATGAACTTTCATAAATCAGAATTCTGTATTCATGTGGTTTCATTCATTCTTTCTGAGGCAAGTTCAAATTTCATTGCTGCAAAATTGTGTCGGGCTAAGGAAAAAAATCGTCAACCTCCATTTAATATACATTATGAGTACGAAAAGAACAATGCATGCAGAAATCAAGTTTAATATAGACAAGTCAGATTATTAACAATTATGGTAACAAATGCTCTGCTTTAATTAATTTTCAATTTAACGATTTTTCATTTAAGCAAAATCGTCGCATTCAAGACTCATTTAATAATGCGATTAATATTAATACAAAGATTTGTTTTTATTTTATATCGTTAACATTTACACCATCCCCCCTTTCCTCCCTCCTCCCCTTGTGAATTATTATTTACCTTATTTATTTAAAATAAAATATAATTGCTTCAAGCCTAATATTGCAACAAAAGTTACTTATATGCTTTATATACTTTAGTTAGTAAATGTGCTCTGATCTAAAACTACTCAGTGGTTTATTCTTCGTTATGACACCCATTTTACTTTTATATGTAAACATGTGAAATGAGAAATAATTTGGTAAAGTACAGATGTGTATAAGTAAATCGATTTATAGTGTGATAAGAACTCAAGTTGAGTCAGGTCTTGGGCTATCTATTGTTAATTTAGTGATCTTTACAGATAATTGCCTGTAACATCTCTCAAAACTCAAATGAATGAGAGTTGAGGAAGACAAATTGTTCTTGGGACGGTCGAACTCGACGGGCATAGGAATGAAAGATATCCTATTTGCATGAAATGCGGCAACCCAGAAGAACAGAGTAGATATTAGCACTTGCCAATCTTAATTTTGTCATCGGTGTTTATGAGCAACTTCATAACAAGCAAAGGTTACTGAAGATTCGCCTTTTTGCGATCCTAAGTAAAATCGCAATTTTGGATAAAATTTGTAGATTCTATATGTAAGTACCTTTGAAATACGCAATCATTAAACCGATAGATGTGTGAAAATTACTTTTGCGTTTCTAAAAAATCTCGTAAATTTCTCACATATGTGCATTGAAATTTATGGGTTTATGGGCGTCGTACTCAGATGAGCATACTTCCTCAAACATTATCGTAAAATAAACTATTTTCATTTTTAAATTCTTTTTCCATATTACCTTTTTATTTTGACGTTAATGCTACGTGTTTGAAAAAAATAGGTCTAACTTATATATTAACAAGCAATTTGTTAGGTGTGTAGGCTTATCTTACTGTTTTTAAGCAAAAGTCAAATTTGAAATCCTTTGTTTTAATTTCCGTTTTAAGTTCGTGTATTAAATATCCTGGTGGGTTCGAAATTTCTTTTAACCACAACTATTAACTGGCGCTACAGTTCGCAGCGGTCATTATCAAACTTCGTTCAATTAAAACGGGTGGTTTTATAGGTGTGTTATGACGCTCTTCCTCAGATTGCTTATTTCTTTAAATGCCTGCAAAAAAGCCAAATGAATAAGTATTGGTTTCGGAGGATAAAATCTGCTGGCTCTGTTTCGTCTGAGCTACTATTGAATTTTTCATTTAACTTTAATATCAAACATTTTGAAATCAAACTTTTAGCCACATCAGGGGGAATACAAAACCAATCAAGGCTTCTGGGGAGGGGGAGGGGTTAATTTTGGACTTAATACAGTTCATATAAAAACGTAAATAAGGTGTGCATTACTTGACGTTTAAATTTATTCTTAAGGTGTAAATAAATATTCGCTTCCATTCACTTAATCACGACGGGACACCAATGGATTTGATTTTTGAACGATTGTATTTTGACGGACTTTAATATTAATCTCCAATGATGAAGCTGTGTCTTAGTACTTGAATAACTGGTTTCCACTCGCCCCGAAGTCTGCTGATAAGTTGGAGAGTCTTTGAATAAGTAAATGACTCGTGATCTTGATAGTCCAGTATTAGTCAGTTATAAAGATTTTCGTCATAATTGGACGGCTACCTGAATAAATAAATGGAATGGCATTTTAATAGCACTTCGGAGGGAGGGGGGTGGATTCTGAGACCAGTCGATCTTGAAAACAATATCTTCAATAAGAATAACAATTTTTACTTGATCTCTATGATATCTTGCACACTCCTTACAATTATAGACTTAAAATGGAAAGTAATGAATTTATGGAACTAGTATTTACTTTTTACTACCTAATTCTCAACTTTTCTTATTTTATATTTGATTAAAAAGCTTAGTTTATATTAATTCTTCCTTTTAAATTCCAAAACAATAGGCGGTGGGGTGAGTGGGGGGAGTCGTACAACTTTTATTCGTGGGAACATATGATACAGTACATCAGTCCGCGAATGAGTCGAAATGGGTTTGAGATGGAAAAGTGTGTATTTTGAAGTTACAATTCCATGAAACTTGATTTATTTGAATTCAAGCAGTGTTGAATTAGCTTCTTTCCCAAACAACATCCAAATGCACCAACGGTCAATTTTCAAGATTATATCTCCAGGTTTTCTAGGTCAGTTCGTGTTTGCTCCATTCGAGCATGTTGACAAATCGGTCACACCACTTCGATTCATCGGCATCTTCTTCTAGCTATATATGCAAGTAGAAGAGTATAGAAGAGGTAATTTAAATATAGTAGAACTCTCCCCCCCCCCCCCCCCCCCCCCCCCCCGCCTCCATCTGAGTGTTCTGACGGCTTAACAACGTATGGAAATAAAATTTCACCAAATTTAAGTAGTATGCCTGATTTTTTATTAAGGGCTCTTTTAACTCACTAAATGCACAAAATTTACCATGGTAAAGTCAAACAAATTGAAAATTTAATTATTCCCGGAAAGAAGAAAGATTTCAGGACTTGCAGTATTTAACCATGGTCTAACCCTGTAGTGACCTTAATCTCACGCAGCTGTGAATTAGGTTTTTTTTCTATGGAGTGTAAATTCGCTTGCTTTCTCACTAAAAGAACTTTAAGTCATGGCGTTAAAGTGGAAGTCTATCTAGCGATAAATTTGAGAATAGAGTCTTTATATATATATATAAAGTCCATTATTATTATTTTTTATATGATATTTTTCACAAAAATATGGTATACTACCTGGCAAATTGACAATTCAACAAAAGGGAGAAGTCCTTTGTCAGAGGATATCTGCGCCGATACGGTCAACTTCCTTTGCAATCAAATAACGTCGTAGACAAGACAAAGGGTTGCTTAGGTTACACTCACCGGTAAATTTTTGGTTGCTCCAGTAACGCAACGATGCCTATTATCTAGCATTATTTGTAAGTATAGAACTTATTCAACTTTTCAAAAATTGGACATAAAATGCGTTGTTATCTGGTGAAGTCTTTCGCATAATTTGTCTCAAGGGTGAATTGCAAGAATTGAATTTGAAATAAATGAATGAATGGATGAATGGTAGAACTCGATTCCATTTGACTATATAAGCTGAAAAGGCTTTGCAATATCAAAATATATTTATCTGAATGGCGTTTTATTATTTACTTAAAAAACAGTTATCTACATCCGTTATCTAGTAGCACAATAATCGGATTATTAAAACAAATATAAGCCAGTGGTCACCTTTGTGGCATTCTTTACAAAATAGCTCACTATTTTTTTTAATTAAGTCCAGTAACTTGACTTACAGTCAACGTTGAAAGTGCAATTTAGCAATAAGGGAATTACTTGGGCGTAATAGTCGTTACGTTGTGATTACATCAAGACCTAGGAAACGAGAGGCACACCCATATGCCGACTCAACTGGTTGGCCGGTTGCTGCGTGAGTAGAAAGGCGATTTCTCATCGCTGAAACACGTGAGAGATTAGTGGGCGTCAACGCTCCTGCCCCCGAAATGCGATGAATCATACCCATTGCCTCATGTTAGTTACCGCGCCCTCACCAATTGGTTGAATAAATCTGCAATAGCCAACGTTATTTCATAACTCACGTAAAATTAACCGGTAACACTTAATTGACTACGTCAATTATGCTTCCAGTTTAAATGAAATTAACAATGAAACCTTAATTTGTGCGGAATAAAAAAGAAAACATTGTGCAACTCAAATTCACATTTTTAAACTAGTTACATTTACTTTCATTCATTGAGAAATACAAATAATTTTCCTAGAAGTAAGAATTATATTAATTATAATTCGATGTCTTTTCCAATTAATTTAGGCATTAAATAAATATTTACCAATTTAACTTGATCGAGTAAATTTGGTGTCTACTGGACAGAATTTGACGTTTAGAACAACCGGCACAATACCTTTCAATTAACATTAGCTTAAAAATCGCCTTTATCTTCACTTTTAATCCTTTTGTATTAATTATAGAATATGTCTGGCATTCCAATCTCGACTGGTTGCTGAATAGTTTGCTCGGTTCTAGAGGAGTGGATTTGACAGCTTTAAATATTTCAGTCTCAGCTGAAGATCCAGATCAAATTCAATTAGAGATGGTGTCAGGACATGGAAGCCAGGAGACGAAGGTGAGACTGACAACTAACCCATACCCATCAATTCCTCCTGACTTCAGTCCTGAATACCTTCTTCTTGCTACTGCATTTACTTTTCTAATGGTCCGCTTTGCTGCTCCCTTCTGGTTTACCAGTAGATCATTTTCGGGACTCTTATCAGTGTATACTTTTATAAGTGGTTGCTATGTACTTCTAGAATCCGCTGCAATGGAACTACTGATAAAAATCTACACAGCTGGTGCACGGGACACCTCTGGTCATCGAATCGATATCATTCCAAATGGTTCTCAACTAGTAACCACTTGGATTTGTGTTATAACAAGTGCTATTGGCTTTTTGGCTCTAATAGCTGGACTAATTGCCTTTTATTCTTTTGGTGAACTACTTTTCCAACGAGCAGTAACCAATTATGCGAACCTTATTATGGCTGGAGAATTTGATATTATGAAACATCGAGATACGGTGTTGAGAGAGGATAAGGCTTCCACCATCATGGAAGAGACTCTAGTCGAAGAAAATGATCTATTGGGACCTAGTGTTATTGCTGTGACAACAAAAATTTGGCGACCAGTTCGTAAGTCCCCGAGTGCTCTAGGAAATGCGTCATCTCGAATTGTAGCTTCATCTGCTCTGTCAGCGAGTAATGACACTCTCCGTTCCAAAACTGGAAGTACTCGTGGCACCCCAACAAAAATCATAGGAAAATCGAAAAATATGAAGTCATCAATTACGTTCTGGCCTTCTCTCATCTCCGCACTATCATTTGGATGCCTGGCCTTTACAAGAAGCTGTCTATTCGGTCCAATGTTGCAGTGCTACTGGCATACTAAAATTAAGCTCCCTCTAATTTATGTCATCTTCTCAATACTTTATCTCATCCTTTGGCTTGTATTGTGGTTTGGCATGACCGTAAAAACAGCCTGGAGATTCCGATTGCTTCATATGCCTGTTCCAAACAACAGTAGGTATCGATTCACGTCACCAAAGTCTCGAACACACGCTGAGCGTATGGGTCTAGCAGCTTCTCAATTCGCTCCGTGGCCATTGATGAATAATCCAGCTGCTGCTCAGCTTGGAGCAAGCTATTTCTGGCCTTGGTTGCAATATCAAAATGGCTTCATACCGCCTCAGAATGGAAGCCTTGCTTTCGGTGCCTCTCCTACGCCCTTCGAAGGTACCTATGTTGGTGAAGTGGTTCCAAATGGAATTAACTCAATGTATGAATGCTATAATGAAAATCGTCCGGCTAATCCAGGAGGTCTACTTCGGGATGGTCCACCCACACTTTCAGATGAGTCTGACAACGTCATTCAGTTGGAATATGATCGACCTTCCAACTTTGGTTTCTTGCAAAAGGGAGCAGGACTAGTGACCATTTGTGATGGAGACAAACAATCAGAAGAATCTTACCAACCGTACAAGAAACATGGCACTGATCCAGCCTACGTGAGTTTGGCATCGCTAGGTCGAACTGGAAGTCCTCAACGATCGACGCATGGAGGATCCCGAAGAGGTGTCTTAGGAGCTCGAGTGACCTTCAAAGCTGATGATGAAAATGGTGGCAATGAGGGCAATAATGCAAGCAGTGACAGCGGAGTATGCACGAATGGAAGTGGCAGTCGTATTGTGGGAAGACTGAATCTTTCAAATCATCCCCTTTTCATTGGGGCTACAGATCGTGCAGGTAGTCCTGGTGGCTTCATCAATTCCACAATTAATGAAAATCCCATGAATGGCCCAGTTAGATTGGAGAGTGATGAACGACTTTGCAGTCAAGTTTAGAAATAAAAGTAACGATCATTCGAAAACCTCCTCTGTGCTGTTGCTTTTTGCTTTGTATATCAACTGTACATACTGACTGAACGAAACAACTGAATTAAATTTTATTTTACAGTATTTTAATCCCTGCATTCATTCGTTATACCCCCCACTTTACACTCCCCTCCCTTGTAAGTTGCTTTTTTGTCCATCTCCTTAAACAAAAACTTACTTACTTACTTAAACAGATTTGAGAGCTAATTGCAAAGTAAATAGCGTAAAAGGTTTGCGTTTTCAATTACTTGTTATTTTACCTAAATTTAATTGGACTTTTGTACAGCTAGTTCTGCAATTTTACTTATTAAGTGTCTTTCAGTCAATGGGAGATAATATTAGGTCAGGCTACTAGATGTGGGAGTTTGTTGAATGATAAGGCGAAAGAAGTAGTTGTGATGGCGAGAGCTATAAATGCTGACGGTAGGCTAGTCTCTGTAGACAGAATCAGGTACGGGGAACGGCAGAATTGCGCAAGTTGAACATTACATATTTGGGATATCGTAGAAAACACAATCGAGAGCTGGTCTGGTTTAGTTCAAGTCGTTTTTGTATTTTGTCAATTACAACCAATGAGATAGCTAGATTGACTATTACTCATTATCAAGCTCACAGGTGGTTTATAATGCGATCTGACACTAATATCCTGAATACCACTGTAGATAATGAAGCGCAGGGGTTAAGATAGAAATATAATTACCCCTGGGTGTCTAAAGTTTTCGATTTGACAAAGGAATTCAGATTAAATTTTGAGAATAAATGCGTGGCGATTGGGTAGCAGAGGTGGAGTACAATAGCGAGCAACGTTGGCTTGTATCAATAAACATACCGATGACGATAAGGTTCTTCCGATTGATAGCTGTATAAAAACTATAGGCTTAGTTTGCCGATCAATAGTTTTCAAATCTCAGAAAATGATGTGAAATTTAATTTCTATTTTAGTCCCTCGACTATACGTCCTCTGAGTTAACTTATTCATAATAGTATTTTTGTTTTATTTAATGGGCATATTAAAGCTCTTTCAGTTGCATTAGCTGAACACATGTAATTGGCGTTGCATCGTTCTAATAGTTCAGATACGTGTAAAGAAAGAAACACTTTATGATTGAGAGTACGCATGCGAAAAATAAAGAATTTATTTATATCAAATGGCAGGCGTTTTGATAATTGTCATTAGCACTTTAGTTGGCTACAGGCTTCATAGAGGGGAAGGATCGTCAAAGTGAAAAAAATTCGAGAGGGGAGGGGACAGAAGAGTGTTTCAAAGATGTAAAAGAGACAAACACAAAGGTAGTAAAAAGGTGAGTTGATTACTGTGGAAGGGGTCGAATATGACATATAATCGGACCATAGAAGTTTGAAGTTTGAAGCCGATTAATAGACTTTTTGTCGTATGAGTATACGTTACCCAGGGTGCCCCACGTGGAGGTAAGTCTATCCCACACCCCAAAAATAAAAAAGGAGATGGCCTAACAGAGCCAATTTTGTTCATTTCTCATAAATAGGTCCCGCAATTTCTCTTGGCCTTTACTACAATTAATAAGGAACACAAGGAAACATTGTGGAAAACCTTCTAAAGATTAAGAATGATAACATAGTCCGCAAAGGATCGAATAAGGGGAGGAGAGTGAAGTTGGAAATGCAAGTTCTCTACTGCTCCAAAACTGCCGAATTCATTGAGTTTTTTTAATTTTCATATAAAGAATGAATCACATCTCGTCATTTTCTAATATCCCAACCATCAAATTCAATAATTCCTCGTCTACCCTGTTCATAGACAGTAAGTTGAATTGAATAGTTGAGCAAAGTGTGATTAATTCTTGCTAAAATACTTTGATCTAACAAAGTTCGTTTAAGTCTAGGAAAGTAAGGCCCAAATTTCTAAAGAAGCCAATCCACCCTGATTCTATCGCAAACTTACAACAAAAAAGTAACTAGTAAAGTCTCCATGAATAGGGAAATTTATTTAAAAAACTGGTATCTCAAATCAAATATGTGACTTGTGTCGAATGAGTTTTATAAAAGTAATTATTAGCAAAAGTGGATTTTGATTGTTCTTCATATTCCAAAGAGGCCGTTTGGCTGCTTTTGGTGGGGTATTTAAAAAAACCACCATAGTTATACTTCCCCATGTTCAAAGGCTAAATTTCACCCTATTTAAATAAAGGACACTTAAAATCGACTTCAAATTCCAATTGAGTATTGGTTCATCTAAATTGGCTCTTTTCCTTGGATAAGACAAACAAATGAACGTTCAAACGCTTGCAGGGAACAGAGCCTTTCTCGAGTGAGAAGACAAGATGGGAAAGAAGGAGCGTTTATTGGTGGAAATGGGGAGGAAAGGGGAGGGCAATGGTACTGAGTAAGGAGCATTCGAATTATGAGTAACATACGAAGTGGGGCACAATTGGGCAATTAACTGAATTTGTGTTTTTTTGTCCATTTGTACATTTTGCCAACGAAATGAATTAGTAGGCATGTAGAATTTGTCGATGCGAAGTTATTATCTTACAAAATGCTATAAGTTTGTCAGCTTTACATCAAAAATAGACTTCAAACAAGGCTACTAATAAATCAATTATCCCAACTATTTTAAGTTTCCTGTGATCAACCTACAGTTTTTGCTTAATAAAACTATACTTTTCATGAAAAAATTCCTTAAGTACTATGTCCTTGAGTTCACTTAATGTGTTTGGTTATTGCAGACCGATTTATCGTCCTCAACATGAATCTGTAAGCTAGAAAAGACGTAATAGAGGTTCAATTGTATACCTGAGAGACCTTGACCGATGATAATCTGGTGTTTCGATTTTGACTACTTTAAATTTACTTCACTGGTCTACATTGATTGGTGGACAAATTCAACTTCTCATTGAAATTGGGTTGGAAAAAGATATCTAAAAGAAATTAACGTGTAGTGAGTGCTGCACAAATAAGTCCCTGGCAGAATCTTTGCAGTCCTCTTAGATGTCCAACTAGCCAGGGAAAAGTACAATTCGCCTTCAGCAAAGATGCTTGATGTAACTTGCTCCAAATTACGATAATTTGCTCCCAAAGTTCTGAGAACGCAGAATATATCATGAGGAGAGTGTTCACTGAAAAGGTTTTGTAACCGTGGGTTTAGTTAATGCCTCTCTGTGCGGATAATTTTAGCTTATCTTCTGGGAGGCCTTTGTACGCAGGGCCGTGATTATCAGTAGACCTTCAGAACGCTCAAGCACGCTGTGTTATAGTAAAAACCTTGGGGTAGCGTTTCCCACTAATTTGATTGGACAACTAAGGAGTGATTCTTAAAAGAGTAACTTTTGTAATTCAAATCAAGTGGGTTATTTGATTATGATGCTCCAATACTAATGCTCTTTTGAATTTCACTTGAACATAGACTTACCTCCACGTGGTGCACCCTGGGTAACGTATACTCATACGGCAAAAAAGTCTATTAACTGGCGATTGACTTCTGGCGCAGTCCTCATCCTACCTTTTCTCTGCCTTCATGTCTGTCTCTTTACATCTGTAAATCACTCTTCTGTTCACCACCCCTCGACTTTCTGTCACATTGTTGTTCCTTCCCTCTGTGAAGCCCGAAGTCAACTAAAGGGCTAATGATAACTATCAAAACGCCTGCCATTTGAAATAAATAAATTTCACTTGAACAAAAGAATTTAATAAATTTAGATTTTTACTTTTTAAGATTTTTATGTGATGAAAGTTAATTCTCTATTCATTTATTTATTAAACTGCATTTAAATTGTCTTTGGTGCCCCTTCTTCGCGATGTTCGGTGCTTATTAAATTGAAATAGTAGTAGTTCGTTTCCTTGATCTAATGATATTTTCTTAAACTAGTAGTTAAGACGAATCCAGGGTGGTAATGAAACCTTGGAAGCTTGAATAAACTTAAATAGGAATCATGTCGAATTTATCAAAGAATGAGGGATGAGAATGAATATAACTACACTTATGTATGAGAAACCAGCCTCCTTTCTATTTACTGACACGTTAAGATTGGAAATAGCTTTGAATTGGTAGTAAATTTCGCACGAATGTGGCCACTTTTCTCAAGATATGTAAATGCACTTAAGTTCACTTTTTTTTCTCTTGGTTGGAATGCCGAAGTACCAAAAGTAGCATTTTCAAGGGACTTCTTCATACTGAAGCAAGTGGACCCAATCCAGCCACGAATAATATATGGTGCTCGCGATTGAATAAACGACAAGTTTAGAATTGACCAGCTGAAGTCTTTCACATACTATCCAACGACCTTGAATGAATTGAACCGATTTTTTGTTTCTTTTTTTTTATTTTCCAACCTTTCTTAGTTTTTGTTTTACTCTGCTATTGAAACTTTAATTTTTTTTTGGTAAAAACACGGATAAATTGAAATTTCTTACAAAGTTCAATAAAGGAGAAGACATTTAATTCCACAACTAATTTTGTTATGCTAATGAACTCTCTTGGAGGAACAGAAGATAATTGTACTTTTATGCTATTACTAAATAGGGGGTGACAAAATCGTTATGCCGCGTTACTCCAATGGAACATGACTAATTGGAAATGGCGTGAAAAAAAAGTTTTTTTTTGTCTACTCTGACCACGCAAGCCCCCCCCCCCCCTCTCTTTCTCTCTGTTTGGCAGGTCACATGCTCTCTCCTAGTGCATTCAAATGGAACCAATCAAAAACAGTGCAATGTGCTTTCTGTAGCGATGGTGTGAACACCCCTATTCACATGTTACAATCACCAACTGAGCCCTTTTGTCACAATTCTTGGGTCTTGGGTTCCGCGGTAATAAGACGTATGCCAGTGCAAGGTTTTTGTGCTCAGGGTAACGAGAATGGTCAATCATCCTAAAGGCTCCACCAAAATACTGATCTGTCCGAAGATGAAAACCGGTTGTTTAAGGAGAGCTATTTATTTGGAACGAAGGCAAAATCAAGACTTTAGTGCTATAAGAACTGCTTAGAGCGAAATGG